TTCCTGGTTTTATTCGGATCTGTCTCTGTTGTAAGAGGCATTTCATGCAATATCGCTCATACTAATCCATGTATTTGCTTGCAGAATGGTTCCTCCGCGCCATGATCAGTAATGAGATTTGACTATAGACCACCCGTAGAGCTGTTGGGAAGCTTCATCCATCGGATAAAATTCAGTCTTGATTTGTTTTAGAAAGATCGCAATCGTGCTTCAACAGCTTTGATTATTTTCATGGTTGCGGCACAAATGGTGTATTTCTTGTATTTTGCACCGGAAACGTTTCAAGTAAGGCTTAGATTTTGAATGCTCTGCCCTTTCTCTTCGAATATAGGTGATTGAACTGTAGTAGCCACTTCATCTGCACTGAGCTCCAGAACGCAATCGAATGCTGTCTGCAACTCATTGAAAGAGTTGTCGTTCGCGAAGCGCTCTTCTTCATTCATCAATCTTTGATTCTTCGTTTTTAAGGGCATTCTCTTTGACTTCTGTGCATTGCTTTCTGGTGTATGGACGAACTTGCTAGGCATTGTAGCTGGATTTTTCATTCTTAATGCTGTAATTTATTTGCTAAAGGTGGGTGAATCTTCTGAGAATCAGTCACTATTTGCATCAGCTTCTTGGTTGTTTCTTCAGGTTATTCCTTCTACGAGAATCATAGTAACCAAAATAGAAAACCTACCTTACATTGGCTCACTATTGTTCGACCGGAAATATCAGATCAAGTTAGTTACTCGAATTCGGCTCTTTGTTTCATGTGTTACGAATGCGATCCTTCTGAACTTGGTACATCTTTCAGAAATGTTCTCATAATTACATTGGTGATGTCGTTGCTGATGTGGCTTGGAAGTGACAAAATTGTCATCAAGCACGTCACTATCCCCGTCAAGGTACGTTAGTTTTCATTTTCTTGTTCAAGCATGAGTTTTGCTAATTGCTCACAAAAGCTTCATTCAATATATAGAACTTTACTGGGTCGAATGGGTCATTCAAGATAGCCCTGGTATCTGATATCCATGCTGGCGCAAGTGTGCACAGAGAACAAGTGAGAACTATTGGTGATTACTTCGTTTCCACTTGATTTTGTGTTTTTTGTTCTCTATTGAGAAAAGTGATAGAACCATTACCGGACTATTGGATATTTCTCAAATTACTATACACATGATCATACTTTGAGGTTTCCAAAGTGGTTGATAAACTTCTTGATCTCCATGTTGATGCTGTGGCATTAGTGGGTGACTTGGTCGATGGACCATTAAGAAGTTTGGAAGACCGAATGGTGCCGCTGTGGTTAGTTCCATATTACTGAACTTGTTTCGACGTGACAGTTTCTCACTTTTTTTCAAGATATCTAACTATTTCATCAAATTTCTTTTCAAAAAATTACGAGAAGAAAGTTTTCTCAAATTGCAGTTTTGTAGTATATTACTTTTACATTTCTTTCCATTTTTCTTCCAATTCAGGATGCTTCTCTACAGATACCGAACCTATTTTGTCTCAGGAAATCAATATCTAGAGGTTCTTTTGGTTATTAATTAGCTACATAAGTATGTGTTCTGTATTAGTCCATATTTGCGTTGGACTGGTTACAATTTATCGCTTCCACCTGAATTTTTATAGAACGCTTTTTTCTGAAATTCTGGGTGTTCATTGCGCCAAATTTGGTTGCTTTTGTTAGAGGGAATACCACGTTTGGAATGCTCACCGGTTCTCCTCAGTTTTCTTAAAAGACAGTGAAGTTTTTGAAAGGATGCCTGCAATCGTCTTCAAAAAGATGGCCCTAGTTAAGCCAGCTGAGAAGGGGCTGCACCAGACTTGTGCTGAAATGGTAGGATACTTTCACTGTGATGGATTGATGATGCGCAAACATTCCTATGAATTTGATTCCGCAAGATATTCTGATAAATGTGCTCACCTGCCTCTCACGCGCGCTCAAAAAGGGTGCGTTTTTGACCCTATGTTGCAAAAAAGTCTCCGTAAAAAACTGCCCACTTGGGCTGATAAGTTCTAATTTTTCTGTCGTGCAATGCAGACCCTACGCTAACCAGCTGTATACTTAATTTTGTCCAGGCTTTGCTTTTTAGCAATTAAGAGGGATGATTTATCAGAGGATGTCAAAACCGAAACCTGCCCTGCCTCTACTTTTTAACTCAAAAAATTCCGAGCTTGGATCGTGCAAGGTTTCCACTCAACTGTTAGATGAGGGGATCCTAGTAAGTCATTTTATGATTAAACTAACTCCCTCCCCGGGTTTTGAACTGAAATATTGCTGGTCCAATACTCTTGGTGAAAAAAACGACATTAAGATATCCGGTACCTATTAATATACCGGTGATTCAATCTTTTACATTTTCTTTCTACATTTTTCTTCCAATTCAGGATGCTTCTCTACAGATACCGAACCTATTTTGTCTCAGGAAATCATGAGTATTACTACGGTGATGCTATGGAATGGTTTAAAGAATACGACCGCCGTGGAATTCGCGTGCTAAATAACAAGTAAGTTTCAGACATATCGTCACTAAGAAATACCTGGGGTATTTATGTGTGAAGTAAATTACTAGTTAACATACGGGGATCCCCCTTGTGTAGGTCAACCTTTATCAAGTCCTCGTGGATAACACTCTTCTAATCCAGAAATCAAGAATACCTTCTGTAGCTATGGGGGATTAACGCCAGCAAAAATCTCAACGTTTCATTCTCATGGTCTCTCTTGAACAGTGATCTCAATATGCCAATTTTTAGATGTGACATGTTTCAAGGCATATGTGTTGTGGGTGTGAATGACATTTCAAGCGGAAACTCAGGGTAAGTTTTTCTTTATTTTGTGAATGTGTGTAATTTTTCCATATTCTCTTACTGTTTTCACAATGTTCCCTCCTCAAATTGCGTTCGTTGGTGCGCTGAGCTCAGAATTGCTTTCCGTATTGTGATTCTATGAACGGGGTTTAAAGCGGGAACGCTCAGATCCACCCATCTGGGCCCTTCGATTGGAGCTCCTTGAATCATCTCCTTATTGAGTTTGCTCTTACATAGCTGGAATGAGCTTTGATATTATCACTGAGTTCAACGGTTGCCCAAGATGGGCTGAATGGCTGGAAATGCGAGCAGGATAGGGCGAGTTAGAAAGGAATGAGAATGAGGCAGACCGCGGAGAAGGTCATTAGCTCCCATCTCCAAAGCGCAACTCAGCGTCGTCATCGGGCATTGCAATGATGCTACACCTCACTACAAACCACCAGCCGACCGTTGATCTTGCAAAAGGCTGTGATGCTTTGCATCTGAAATTTTCGTGAACTACTCAGGAGTTTCTTGAGAGCCTTTGTGAGTGCGAAAAGTCCTGAAAAGAAAGCGATCTATCTGTTCGAAAGGCAGCATGCTTTGACATATCTTCAAATTTTCTCGAAATCTTGCTTTTTGAAGCTTGGGCAAAAGAAAGATTAAACATTATGAACGTCGTTGAGAATTGTGTTATTGCCACTATTTTCATTTGATATTGATGATTTACACTGGCTGGAAAAGAGGAAACTTGAGGAATAACAATAATTTTTGCTTACAAATCGTCATTTCAGAATACATGGTCTGATGACTTTAATTACACTGGCTGGAAAAGAGGAAACTTGAGGAATAACAATAATTTTTGCTTACAAATCGTCATTTCAGAATACATGGTCATCGCATGAATTTGACTGAAGCCATGCTAAATTGCAGCGAGGGCTCTTCACGAATTGTTCTGGCCCACAATCCAGCGAGCGTGAAGAGCTTTTCTGCTAAAGATTTGGAGAAAGTCGACGTGATTTTGTCAGGCTAGTTTTGCACATTTTTAAAATTTGCAACTTTGGCGCAAGTGAATCCCAAGCAGAGTTTTAATTTCGCTTCACTAACTGCGATTGGTTAGAATTCATACGGGAGTTAAATTTTTTTACGTGTTCAGGTCATACACATGCAGGACAATACTATGTTCTCGTGCCAGTAGTTTCGTGGTTATTGCCCTATTTTCATGGTCTCTATGATCTCGGACATGGAAAGCTGTTCGTTTCGGCTGGCACGCTTTATCAGGTGAGGTGTTGTTGGCATTCAGGTAATCTGTATCAACGAATTCATTGTGATTCAGGGAGCTCCAATGAAAATGTTGTGGATGTCGGAGATATGGGTGGTTCACTTGGTGAAGGGGGAATAGTCTGTTAAGTTTAAGTTGTTGAGATTCTATGTTTTCTAAGCAATCAATAGTTGTGTCTGACTTTCATTTACGACAGGTTCTATTTATCAGCCTCTTATATCGTTCGGTGATCTTTCATTGCAAAACAATGTTGTATATACGTGTATAGTATGGTGATTTAGATGATGAAGTCTGTGATGTTTTCATTGATTAGTGCAACTTTTGTACCACTGAAATGCTGTTGAACTGTTCGGGAATTGATTAGTAAATAAAGTCTGTCTATCGGTCAAGTGTATCATTATTGATGGTATACTATCCATTCCTTCTTTATCAACTTTGCATAAATGATAGCTTTTGTTAACAGCTGGCTGTCTAAAGAAGTGTTCAGTTGAAACAGAATGTTTTAGGGAAGACCGTCAAACGTTTAGTGAGAATAACTGTAGATGTTGAATGGCAATGAAGGAATCTTCTCAACTAGAAATTCGATCATTATTATAGCCATACTAGGTCTTGTTTCTCTGCAAAAGTTATGTGCTGGATGGGTAGGTCACTTATTTTAAAGCTTTATAATGTTCTAAAAAACCGAACAAATCTGAATTCAAACAGTTTAGTTCTGGTGTTTTTATCACACTTGAAAGCATTTGTTGGTACGACAAATAGATCCGTAAATACCAGTTGCGTATTTTAGAAGTACAGGTGGAGAGGGGGGAGGGGAGCATGGCATCGTAGGTGAGCATTCAGTTCTCCACTGCCCGATACGAGCGGGTCAATTGAGCCTTTGTTCCAATGTTCTCAAACAAGGCTGGGGTCTGAAAAGTGATGATCGTGTGGATGTGTTGCGTTTTGCAATCAATTAAGGCTAAAATTGTAATTAGGGGGTGCCCTTCATCACTTGGTGATGGTGACTTAGTACCATTTCATCAGTGCAATGTATTTCAAAGTTGTATCTTTTAAGATAAGAGATGGAAAAGGCTACGAAGTCGGGAATAGGCGACGTTTTATTGCGACTTTACGAATGGAATGCTTCATGCTTTTGTGCAACTTCTTTATTTACAGCCAGCTAATGGCTTACTATGAGAGGAGAAGCTGCGATAAGTCGAACAACCAAGAGGTAATGGTCAGTTTTTTTTTTTCAAATCCTTGCGCTTTCATCAATATTTAGTTGCTTTGTAGTCGATGATTCTGAGAATGGAAATCAATTCCCAGCGGTTTCCTAATTTCTCGGCTTTGGTTTGTTCCTATCTGAAATTCTTTAAATGCACAGTCAGGGGTTTCAGAAAAGTCGCACGGTTGCTTCTGCTGCTCTGATTTCTTTTATGATTGCATCACAAGGGATGTATTTCCTGTATTTCGCTTCTGAAGAAGTCCAAGTACGTTCCCAATTAGTTTTCTATCTTTTCCTTCCAGAGAACATATAATCCCTAATGGAATCAAGTCACTGATTTGTTTCACACTTCTAACTGCCAACTGGCTGTGATTTGATTCATGGCTATGGCTGAGCTTGATTTCTCTATCTTTTCCTATTTCAGGACCGATTCTTTGACGTTTGCGCATTCTTTTCTGGAATTTGGATCAATTTGCTCGGGCTTGTTGCTGGTTGTTTTATTGTCAATTCTGTGGTACACATTTTGAACGTGAGGGCGAATATCCGTAGCAAGATTGTAACCTTGTTCTGCTTTCTCAGATTTTTGTTTTTAGGCAGTGTCGTCTGCTAATTTTATAGTGAGAAGAATGCGTGGAATTCCTTATCTTAGCTCTTTGCTGTTCGATCGACGGTGTCAAATAAGGTGAGTAAGTACTTTTTCGAAGCTTTTCTAGCATTACCGATTTTTAGTATCTCTAGTATAACTCGATTAGAGCTATTCTTTTGCTCTCTGTGGTAATGTCGTTCGTGATGTGGGTCGGCAGCGACGATGTTCTTGTCAAACAAATCACTATTCCTGTCAAGGTATGATTTTCTCATATTAAGTCGTTGGGATATGTCTCGTCTGTTTCATGGGTCTATTTTTCGCATTACGATAGGTTTTTGATCTTTGTTGTCTACCGAAAGCTATTTTCAAGTTATTTATGGAACAATTTTTTTGCATTGGGTACCCGATTTTCCCGACCTTCACAAACAGAGTAGAAGGCACACTTGGGAACGAATTAGCCTTAAGTGGATCCGTTAGCAATTTCCACCTAGTGAGAGAGTGATGGCGCTCGCGAAAGATCATAAATAAACTCTTCAATTAGATGGGTTGTGGATCTCGGAATGCCCACTTTCCTAGCGTAGAATTAGCGCAATGCCATAATTTGACAGACTAAGTTGCCTTCCTTATGTAGTTCCTTTTTTTCTTACGAGAACTTCTCTGGATTGAATGGAATCTGTCAAAATCGCGTTATTGTCTGATGTTCATACCGGTGCAACTGTGCGGAAGGAACAAGTAAGAGGTCCACTTTCACCGGCTCTGTCACCGTTCTTGCATATTTTAAGCTTGCCGGATGCGAGAAATTGGAAATTTATGTGTAAGATTTGTTCAGCGCGTGATGAATTTCTGTAAAGATTGTCTAGAAAACCAAATGGGTTTCGCATGAATGCAAAATCGAGTTTGAATTCAATCAAGGAAATTATATTTGGTCACCCGGTAAGTAGGAACCATTGTGGTCGCTTCTGCTGTCAGGTAATAGGTTCATGACACCTATATCTGAATATATCTACGGTCTGAAATATAAACCTGTCTAGGCTATATGTGCTTGTCATATATAATATAGGGCGAGAACTGTGGTCGAGAAAGCGGTGGAGTACGTTTGGGTTTTGCCATATACTGTCCATCCCGCTACCAGCACCCCCCCTTCTTACATTGGACGCACACCCGCTCTATTGGTGAACGTGGACGCGGCACTACTGTTTTATTGTTAGTCGGTACTTCGGTACTTGAGCGTTAAGGAGGATTATTCGATCAAAAATAGGGCTCTGTGAGGATAGAAAAATTATACATGTCAAGCTTTTATCTTGAAGTGTCAAATATAAAGATAACCCACTGATGAAAAGAAAGATAAGCTAGGAAAAGGTGACTTTTCTTCCCCTTTACTTCATCAGTTAAGTATTATAGATGCTTTTGAATCTATTCTTCAGATTGCTAAAGTCTCTAGCAAACTGCATGATCTCGATGTTGATGCTGTGGCATTAGTGGGTGACATGGTTGATGGACCAGTGAAAATTTTGGCAAATCGCATGGAGCCCCTGTGGTGTGTTTTAAGTTAGCAGTGTTTGCTTGCCAACAGTTCAGCAGTGAAGATATCTTTCTCTCGCAAGTTTCTTAGAAAAGCCGTAGTTTTTAACACATTGTAAAAGGAAATCTGGCTAGTTATTTTGAATGCTTCATTTGTGCCATCCATTTTTGTTACGGTTTTGAGGATTTTCGAATTAAATCATTGCATAGCTTCATCGATTTCAAGTATTGATTTTCACTAAATGTTATGTAGGAGTGCTCTGAAACGGCATCATACATATTTTGTCTCTGGCAATCACGAATATTACTACGGTGATGCAATGATGTGGTTCGTCGAGTATGAAATTCATGGAGTCCGCGTACTCAACAACAGGTCAGCTGCGGCGTTATAACAGAGTCCATTTCGTCGGTCTAGTGATCGCGTGTAATTAAGTCAAAGTCTGCCGTTTCAACTGCAGCTCTATGAACTAGCTATCGTAAAACTGTCCAAACCCTGATGCTTCTCCTATATTGACCGTATACAATCCCACAATCTTCCAAGTAATATCGTATCTTGTTCAACCCTATTTTTCAATGGAAGTACGCGCTCGACAGCACATCAAATTAATAGTAGTGAAGATTCCAAGTGCGAGCGATCTGAAAGCTATTCCAGAAAAAGGTTTTGTTGAATTTTCGTGGGTAATCAACAAGCCCCTTTCTTTATCTCCCTTAGTGTTTTGTTGCCTTTTTACTCGTTTCGAATTTCTAACCGAAATTTATCTATTTTGCTTTACACCTCTATCTATGCTGTTCTGCTTTGAAATTTCATGCACACATTCCATATTAAGGCGCTGTCAGAAATTGTTAATCAATTCTAAGTTCTCAAGCATAGCTAAACTAGAAAATTCGTTGCAGATAGGAGTAATTTAGCGTATCGTTTCAGATGCGAAATGTTCCGAAACATCTGCGTGATTGGTGTGAATGACGTGACAAGCAAAATCGCGGGGGTTCGTAGTTTCTCCCTAAAGTTTTATGATATTCTCTTCGTACAGAGGAATCCGAGCCACAGATATGTAGACGAGTGAGCAAGTCTTTCCTTGTCACCAATGTGGAATTTCGCTGAACTGATTCGAAACTGCCCCTGGGAAAAGATTTCTGAGCTTTACTAGTGGAGCTATGTAATTGGTGCAAGTTTCAGAATAGTCGGTCATCACATGAATCTCACCGAAGCAATGCGAAATTGTACTGATGGTACCTCACGTGTCCTGTTGGCTCACAATCCATCCAGCTTGTCCAAGTTTTCTGCTAAAGACTTGGACAAAATCGATATTGTTTTGTCAGGTATGTCTGTATACATATGCGGTCATTTGGCATTAAAAAGTTTTCATATTAGCGAGGTCATTTCCTTTATTAAAGCAGTAAACGGGATGATGGAAAGTATGGATTTTAATTGACTGCCATTAAAGGCTCGCTGCCATTAAAGGAATTCTTCCCGGAAAAATCTTGCATTCTTTCCCAACACGCATATGTCAGTTGTGATCACTAGAGACAACATACAAAGTTTCACGCACAAAGATTCAGTTTCCGAAGAGAAACAAACTTACAAAAACACACTCTATGGACAATCGAAGGTAAGTGGCGCAAGAAGCAAAAGGTCAGGGCATGGAAAGAAGTCCGTTTTGGGGCGGCTTACGTATCAGGCGACAAAGCGGACTTCTTGTCCGCTAGCCGCCCCAAAGCGCCTGATACGTTACGAAAGAATCGTGTTGAAGCGTGCGATTCTGGAGAGAAGAGATAAATGGATCGATAGCATAGGATGCAGTAGAAGTGTAAGATGTTTATGCAATAAGTCAAAAGGCCAGAAATAATTTCTAGTAGCTCCGATGAAAATGTTGTGGATGTCTGAGATATGGGTTGTTGAACTGGTGATGGCTCTCGGTTGGAGGCGCTCTGAGAACCAAGTGGAAGCATTCCCGTCGCCAGCATTTGTGACAGATGTCCGGCGGTACTTTGAACGCGTAGCAGCCCTTTCGGTTTTTTTACCAAAACAAATGCAATTTTTTGTTCTTTTCGTTCTTATCGTGAACGATGGGTCTCAAGCCAGTGAATTATGGGTGAGATAGAATCACGATTTTTCCGAGAAGGATTCCTTTAAGGCGGAAACTAGGTGTACATTGATTTTTCCGATGTGCCACACCCATCAGAATTCCACTGGAACTGTGCATCTGAGTTGTAAACAGGAATAATTGCTTTTGAGATCATTCGATATTAGGGTAAATGGTTCGCTGTACAAGAAATATTGTCAGTGAATTAGTCGACTACCGTGAGCAGGGGGATTGGTTGGCTGGACCGAAGAGACTCTCGGATCGTGTATTTGGTAGGATGTCCATCAGACTCGGCGACTGTGCCGATCGCGATCGCCCATCGCTCGGCACAATCGCCGAGTCTGACGGGCATCTAAGCGAACCTAACACTGCTCACCTACGGTACCATCTTTTCAATCAAAACGTTGATTTGAACAGATACTTCTTTCGCCACCCGTTTTTCGAACTACGCATTTTGAAGAATCACTTGCGTTACCGATGGATTATAGTATTTTCTACATCTATTTATTTTATTTTTATTTTATTATTTCCCTCTCTAGGCCATACACATGCTGGGCAATACTATGTAGTTGCGCCAGCGATTTGGTTACTGTGGCCATATTTGTATGGTCTCTACGATATCGGCCATGGAAAACTATTTGTTTCGGCCGGAACCCTCTATGGGGTAAGTTTTTGGGCGCCCACGCTTTGAAAAACAATTTCATTAAAAGATGAAATGATTTCAGGGAGCTCCGATGAAAATGTTGTGGATGTCTGAGATATGGATTGTTGAACTGGTGAAAGAGACAGTTTAGATCATAGTATATATTCATTTAGAGCTTTAATCACAACCACAAGCCGATTTGAGTGAAAATTTCTGAAACACTTTGAGTCTGGCCTTGTGCAGCGCCGTGCTTTAATATTT